GGACCAGTGGTGACTCAGTTGTGAAACATTGGTTAATTGTTGGTGATGTCATCATAAGTAAAGAACATCAGAGGAAAATAGATACATGAGGGGAATTGATGAATTTGAGTTTGTGCGTGTCTTTATTACTAAAAGCATCATCATTTACAGACACTAAAGGCTTTAAGTAAACATACTTCCTTAGAAACATGCTATGAATGATTTGAAATAAACCGGATTATTATATTTTATTCTTAGCAGCAGGGAATACAGCAGACAGCCGCTCCTCAACAGACAGTACAGTATTCACTTCCGCAAACATCAGCCTCCAGTGAGGCCACTGCTGCACAGCCCGTGAGTCAGCCTCAAGCTCCACAGGTCTTGCCTCAAGTACCAGCTGGAAAACAGGTAAACTCTTAATTTCTGAAAGTATGCTAAAAGGGATCTCCATGTTTCTTGTCTTCTGCCTTGTCTTCAGTAGTTGAAATCGGTTGATTTTTACTGCAAAAATGAAGTGATAACCACTCCGTTTGCACATATGTATTGTTCAGTGTAAATGGGTACATTACCGACAGCAGTGACAATCCAGAAATATTTCACTGTTAGTATTAGTCTAAAATAGATTTGACAGATACTACAATTAACGGGTTAAATAAAAAGGTGCTTTGGTAACTGAACCTATGACATTCTTTAGAGTTGTGTTGGCTATATCTGGTACTCTAGGTTTGCAACTATGCTTTATTTTCATGTAGATTTCTGCACTATTTCCTCCCTCATTACCTATTGACAGTAAATCATGAAAACACCTTATATGTAATGGTAGGGTTTTTTTGGTTTTTTTGTTTGTTTGTTTGTTTTTTGAGACAGAGTCTCACTCTGTTGCCCGGGCTAGAGTGCCATGGCGTCAACCTAGCTCACAGCAACCTCAAACTCCTGGGCTCAAGCGATCCTCCTGCCTCAGCCTCCCGAGTAGCTGGGACTACAGGCATGCGCCACCATGCCTGGCTAATTTTTTTTCTATATATTTTTAGTTGTCCAGCTAATTTCTTTCTATTTTTTCAGTAGAGACAGAGTCTCACCCTTGCTCAGGCTGGTCTCGAACTCCTGAGCTCAAGCAATCCTCCCGCCTCGGCCTCCCAGAGTGCTAGGATTATAGGCATGAGCCACCACACCCGGCCCAATGGTGGTTTTTTTTTTTTTTTCTGAGTAGTCCTCCTCCTAATCACTTGAAAAGTACCCTGTCTCTAGATACAGGTTCACAAATAAACAAAGAAAAAAAGAAGTAGTACAGTAGAAGCATACCTGTGGAAGGTCTGCTCTTCTAAATGACCTATCTTCAACTTTATCTTTGGGCATTTTTGTGCATGTGTTTGTACAATATTGCTGTAATATTTGTGATACTGTGATATTTCATCACATCTGAGATGCTATCAACTGTAAAATGCACCATTAATTTATGTAGCCCTAAGTACTGACACATCATCAATTGTAAGATCCTAATTTCTCAAATGTTAAAATGATCAGGTAGTGGAGAATAGGGGTGATTGCATCTTGGAATCAAGGAAATATATTAATTATACCTACTTTTATATAGAGCTGTGTTAGACTTAACAACTGTAGAAGTGATATGAAATCTAATTCCACTAGGAAGGAATTACTTGAATTTCAGTAACTACTGTAGTAGCAGTCACAGATTTAGTCACAGCATTTTGGTACATGAAATATATCCCAATAAAATTGTTTAAAAAAAAAAAGACCTAGCCTATGGAAGGGTTTATTGCCAAATGCTGAAGAATTAGCAAAGTTTTCTACAGCAGAAGGTTTGGAACAGTAGCGGTCTATTTAGCCTCTTTGTCTCCTGCTATCCTTTTCATATTCGTATGTGACATATTAACTTACACTAATGTATGCAGGATTTTGTTGGGGTTCCCCCCCTCTTCTTTTCAGCTAATACATAAATCTTGCTTTTGGCAGTCTTGCTTTTTTTTTTTTTTAAAGCCTGTCTGTTTTGTTTTTCTTTACTTTCCCAGCTTCCAGTTTCCCAGCCAGTGCCACCTATCCAAGGCGAACCTCAGATCCCAGTCGCGACACAGCCCTCAGTTGTTCCAGTCCACTCTGGTGCTCATTTTCTCCCAGTGGGACAGCCACTCCCTACTTCTTTACTTCCTCAGTACCCCGTCTCTCAAATTCCCATATCAACTCCTCATGTGTCTACGGCTCAGACAGGTTTCTCATCCATTCCCATCACAATGGCAGCTGGCATTAATCAGCCTCTGCTCACCTTGGCTTCATCTGCTACAGCACCTGCGGTCCCAGGGGGATCAGCTATGGTTCCTAGTCAGCTTCCAACCCTTCTGCAGCCTGGGACTCAAATGCCAAGTCAGGTTCACCCACAGCTTCTACAACCGTCAGTGCAGTCCATGGGCGTACCAGCTAACCTTGGACAAGCTGTTGAGGTTCCACTTCCCTCTGGAGATGTTCTGTACCAGGTATTGTGTTAGCTAGCAAAAAAGGAGGGCACCAGAGGGTTTGATTCTAGTAGACCATCAAGAACTTGAAAATCTAATAGTCGAGTATCAGAATAACTAGCAATAACAAAAGTTGCTGATCTCAACTAGACTAGTTAAAATAGTAAATTTGTGGAAAAGGATAGGATGATGATGTCTGATGACATTCCTTATCCGGTTTTCCCAGCACACCTCTTTCAAGAAAAAAATCCTTCTCAATGTTCAGTGTAAACGGATTGAATGCAAGATGTGGTTAATAGAGTACATTATGCTATGTTGGGTTTTGTTTTTGTGGTCTTTTGATACAGGGTCTCCCTGTTCAGGCTTGAGTACATTGGCATCATCATAGCTTACCGTAGCCTCCAACTCCTGGGCTCAAGCAATCCTCCTGCCTCAGCCTCCCAAGTAACTGGGACTGCAGGTGCAAGCCACCATCCCCAGCTAAAAAAAAAAAAATATTTTTTTTTTGTTTGGTAGAGATGAGGTCTCACTATTGCCCAGGCTGGTCTTGAATTTCTGGCTTCAAGCTGTCCTCCAGCCTTGGCCTCCCAAAGTGCTAGAATTATAGGCATGAGCCACCGTGCCCAGCTTAAGCTACCTTTTTTTTTTTTTATGTATACGTAAAATAAATAGAATAGCCAACACAGAATCAAACAGCTTTAAGGTTTAGATTTAGGAGATTAGCATTTCATGATATGACTGCAATAACGGATATACGAAAGTTTTTGTATTTTTCCATTGAAGATCAGCTAGAAAGGAATTAAGTCTTTTCCTCCTATTTAAACAATCTCCAGGAGGAGAAAAACCAACAATCTAAAGTATGATTGCAGAGTCCTGTTCCCTAAATTGGAACTAGTCTACTACTTCATTTCAAAATTCAAGAATGATCTTTAAATGTCCTTTAGATTATTAGAAAGAGATTGGCTACTATTCTTTGCTATGTGCTTTTTTTGTTTGTTTTTTGTGTTTTTTTATTTGTTTGGTTTTGTATGTCTTGCTGTGTTGCTAATTTGATGACCCAACCTGCACTAACTCCCCTTCCTCATTTCTGTCACAGGGCTTTCCACCTCGACTGCCACCACAATACCCAGGAGACTCAAATATTGCTCCCTCTTCCAGCGTGGCTTCTGTTTGCATCCATTCTACAGTTCTGTCCCCTCCCATGCCGACAGAAGCATTGGCTGCACCTGCTTACTTTCCTGCAGTGGTGCAGCCTTACGTGGAACCAAATCTTTTGGTTCCTGTGGGTGGTATAGGAGGACAGGTTCAAGTGTCCCAACCAGCTGTGAGTTTAGCACAACAAGCCCCCACTACATCCTCCCAGCAAGCAGTTCTGGAGGTAAATGGAATTACTGCATGTTTGTATATAAAACATACACGTATATATGTGATGGAATAGAAATGACAGAAGAAACAGGCTTCCCTGGTTTAGAACTCACTTGGAGACTATGTCAAACTGACTTCTGAATGACTTTTTCTTACAGCAGAATGAAATGCCAATGTGGGGGCCTTGTTGCCACTGGCTGTTCTGTTGGGAAGTGAGTGTGCCTTGGAGAAGGTTAACCCTGTTAGCACTTCACTTCTCTAGCTGGTACTTTAGCCATTATTCTTGTCCTTTCACAAACCTCGCCATTGGCAATCGGAAGAGTATCTTATCCTGCTGTGCTCGCAGCAATCATTTTGCCCTGCTGGGAGAAAGATCTTAATTCATCTTTGCACTTTGCTCTGCCTGCCCTGTTGCACACTTCTGGTAAAATGCTGGCTGTATGGCAAGTTGTAGTTTCACACCGCCTTGGCAGATATGTTGGCTGACCTCACACCATGCAGTCTATACCAGAGACTAGCTTTAGAAATTTTCTTTGGAATTTTAAGACCACTGTCTCTAGATGCTGAATTACTAGTAAATATAGTGCTTCTAGGGCTTAGGGGAGGGATAAGGAAAAAAAAATAGCTTGTTACAGATGGCGAATGATAAATAAAATGTTACTGCCAATATTTGAACAACCCTTTCCGTCCACAGAGTACTCAGCGAGTCTCTCAGGTTGCTTCTCCCGAGCCAGTTCCAGTAGCACAACCACAGCCCTCCCAGCCTACCGCTTTGGTTTCCTCTGTCGACAGGTATGTAAAACTAAAGTTCTTCCTTGACTGATAGGTAGGATAGTATGAAAATTCAAGATACCAGACCTTTAAATCTCATATTGTAAACTGAGTTTTTTTCCCCAAAGTGCACATTCAGATGTTGCTTCAGGTATGAGTGATGGCAATGAGAATGTCCCGTCTTCCAGTGGAAGGCATGAAGGAAGAACTACAAAACGTCATTATCGAAAGTCTGTAAGAAGTCGCTCTCGACATGAAAAGACTTCACGCCCAAAATTAAGAATTTTGAATGTAAGTATTGCTAATTTGTGGGCTCCATATTGTTAAAGGAATTTGGTATTTTAGAGGTTATCGAATCCAAACCACTCCCTTCATAAAACAAAGATAACCTTATCTTTGTGCAATACATAATTTATATAGTACTCTTCTCATTTCCTTCTCACAATCCCTTTGAATTGAATATCACATTTTTCAGGTAGAAAAAAACAAAATGTTACAATAGGGCCAGCAGTTATTATCATTTAAATAATTCTGAAGGCTCAGGTGAATTCGTGAACATTTAGGATTTTCTAATTACCCAAATGATATTCTTAAATTCCATATCTCTATGGTAAGGCACTATTTACCTATTAGAAGAAGAGTAGAGAGTTTTAGTAAGTAGCTTAAAGACTGATATCGTCTCAAAGATTTTCTTGCTGCTAGTTTAAGAGACAAAGTACTAGAGCTCCAAGGAACAATAATAAACACTAGGCTTCCTCCGACTTAAATTCGAGTGGCAATCTACATGTCTGTCTCAAATTCAGTAATAAAGCTGAATATGGTCTGAGATGAAGTAACTTTTCTTTTTAGGTTTCAAATAAAGGAGACCGAGTAGTAGAATGTCAGTTAGAGACTCATAATCGGAAAATGGTAACATTCAAATTTGACCTGGATGGTGACAACCCTGAGGAGATAGCAACAATTATGGTATGTCTGCATTTAGAGTTCCCAATTTTTACATAGTACTTGGTCTTCATTATTTTTTTTTTTTTTGAGACAGAGTCTCGCTCTGTTGCCCGGGCTAGAGTGCCATGGTGTCAGCCTAGCTCACAGCAACCTCAAACCCCTGGGCTCAAGCGATCCTCCTGCCTCAGCCGCCCGAGTAGCTGGGACTACAGGCATGCGCCGCCATGCCCGGCTAATTTTTTCTATATATTTTTAGCTGTCCAATTAATTTCTTTCTATTTTTGGTAGAGACGGGGTCTCGCTCTTGCTCAGGCTGGTCTTGAACTCCTGAGCTCAAACGATCCGCCCGCCTCGGCCTCCCAGAGTGCTAGGATTACAGGTGTGAGCCACCGTGCCCGGCATAATACTTGGTCTTAATATCCATTGATCTATGCAAATATGTGTTTTGTAATCTACGTTTATTTTGATAGTTACGCATTTATTTCAGTGTGATATGACTAGCACACCCAACCTGTGATTTAGAGAAATTTTTGTCTAGGATATGTCTAAGTTGGTATTGACGTTCTTAAAAAGGGAAGAGCTAATTCGAATACCAACTAAATAATAATACGGGCAGTATGCAAATAGGGCAGAAATCATGAAAGTGATAGTTGAATGACTTACAGCTTGAGAAATGTCACACTAATCAGACTGACATCACATTTCTTTTACAGGTGAACAATGACTTTATTCTAGCAATAGAGAGAGAGGCATTTGTGGATCAAGTGCGGGAAATTATTGAAAAAGCTGATGAAATGCTCAGTGAGGATGTCAATGTAGAACCAGAGGGTGACCAGGGATTGGAGAGTCTGCAGGGAAAGGACGACTATGGCTTTTCTGGTTCTCAAGTAGGTCCACCATTCCCATAGTGAAACTTTGTTTTATTAAAATATTTCCATAGTACTAGGTTTGCTATGATACCACATTACACCTATGACTGAGAACAAACATGTATGTTCTTTTCACATGTGGCGATTTGCTTTTCCTGATCATTGAGATTGCATTTGAGAATGAATTTAATCACTTTTGTTTATTGTAGAAATTGGAAGGAGAGTTCAAACAACCAGTTCCTGCATCTTCCATGCCACAGCAAATAGGTGAATTTCTTTCCTTTCCTTCTTTGTTCTTACCTTTCACTTAAGAAGTTGTATGTGCCAATAATGAACTCTTGAAGCTTCTTGTTGGTAACAATATAAATAATAATTATACAGTTAAGTGGGTCGTTTCCTTTTGATTAGGCATTCCTACCAGTTCTTTAACTCAAGTTGTTCATTCTGCTGGAAGACGGTTTATAGTAAGTCCTGTGCCAGAAAGTCGATTACGAGAATCAAAACTTTTCACCAGTGAAATACCAGATACAGGTAAAGAATTGATTCTGCCACATTCTTATGTAAATCCTACAGCATCTCTGCTATATTGAAAGCTTGATCATCAAACAGTAGTTTATGATAACACAGATAATAAAAAAGAATGAAAAACTGAATAATGATGAATAGAGAAGATCAAAGAAAAAGAGCTGGCAGGGACAGCCATACTCACTCAGTAGAACCTATATAGTAGGTACTACAGTATATGTCTATTTCTGCATTTACTACTGTTGTATATGCTTTAAGGTTACTCCATGTTTTGGAGGGTTTTTGTTTGATTTCAGAAATAGATACTCATACAGGCTGACTTAATTTGATCAAACTGCTGTTTTACTTTACTGTTTTAGAGCCTAGAACCCATCATTTTCTTGGGATAGATTGTAAACTTTACTGGTACTTGGTGTTGTTGGTAATCCACAAACAGATTGTTAGGACAGTCTTTTGAATCCACCCTTTGAAAATGGGCTGATTTTTATATTTTTATCCTTTGCAGTTGCTGCCTCTACATCTCAGGGCCCTGGAATGAACTTGTCTCACTCTGCTTCTTCCCTTAGTCTACAACAGGCCTTTTCTGAACTTAGACGTACCCAGATGACAGAAGGACCCAATACAGCACCTCCAAATTTTAGTCATACAGGACCAACATTTCCAGCAGTACCTCCTTTCTTGAGTAGCACTGCTGGTGTCCCAACTGTAGCAGCAGCCTCATCTTCAGTCTCAGTCCCGACAACAAGCAGCCCTATAAATGACATTTCCACATCAGTGATTGAGTCGGAGATCACAGTGCCCACTGAGAAAGGGATTGCTGGAGTTGCCACCAGCACAGGTCTCCCTGTACCACCTGTGTCTGAGTCACCAGCACTTTCCGCTGTAGGTTCAAGTATCACAACACCTGCAACTGTCTCAGAAACTACAACATCCCAGTCGGTTCACGTCCCTATATCTGGGAGCATTGTTTCTAGTACAGGCACTTTTCCTTCTGTAACAGTTTCAACAGCTTCAGCCTCTGCAGTGGGCAGTGCTGCCGCCCCCTGTGCTAAGCCTCCAGCTGTGCTATCTCAGCAGGCAGCTGGCAGTACTACTGTAGTAGCCACATTGACACCGGTTTCTGCCACAACTTCATTCCCTAGTACAGCTTCACAGCCATCCCTTCAGCTTAGCAGCAGCACCTCTGCTCCTACTCTGGCTGAAACAGTGGTGGTCAGTGCACACTCACTGGATAAGACATCTCATACCAGTACAACTGGACTGGCTTTGTCCCTCTCTGCACCATCTTCCTGTTCCTCCCAAGGAACAGGACTGTCTAGTTCTGTTTCTCAGCCCGGTGGAGTGCACCCGTTGGTCATCCCATCAGCTATAGCTTCTACTCCTGTTCTTCCCCAAGCAGCAGGACCTACACCTTTATTACCCCAAGTACCTGGTATCCCACCCTTGGTCCAGCCTGTTGCCAATGTGCCTGCTGTACAGCAGACACTAATTCATAGTCAGCCTCAACCAGCTTTGCTTCCCAACCAGCCCCATACTCACTGTCCTGAAGTGGATGCTGATACACAACCCAAAGCTCCTGGAATTGATGACATAAAGACTCTGGAGGAAAAGCTGCGTTCTCTCTTTAGTGAGCACAGCTCATCTGGAGCTCAGCATGCCTCTGTCTCACTGGAGACATCATTAGTCGTAGAGACCACTGTCACACCAGGCATCCCAACCACTGCTGTTGCACCAAGCAAACTCACGACTTCCACCACTAGTATTTGCTTACCACCAACGAACTTGACATTAGGAGCAGTCGCTTTGTCAGGTGTGCCAGTGGTCTCACCTGGGCAAGTGTCTGCCCCAGCCACCACTACATCAGGAGTGAAACCTGGAATGGCTCCTTCAAAGCCTCCTTTAGTTAAGGCTCCGGTAAGATTCTTATTATAAAATAATTAGATAAATACGATCGTTCTTTTTTCTTCCTAATAAGTACATTTTTCAACTCATTCTTATAAATTAAAAACATAGTTATAAAGGTACCTGGCTTATAGTATTTATTAAACAAACTGATGGCAATTTTGGGATATGTACATTGAACAGAAGTTTTTTTTTTTTAATATGGTGGGACTTTCAGGTGAATTATTACCGCACCATTTTCTAAAAATGTGTAATTATCAGGTAAAATACAGGCATTTATTCTGAATTGGTACAAACTGAAGAAATCTGTATCACAAAAGGGAGCTACATGCATCTGTCAGCAAAATATATGTACTAATAGCTGTTTACAGTCTTTGTTTCAATGAGAATAAAGCAAATCTCCTGCTTTATTGTAGATTCCACAGATGTACAATTTGGGGTTTATAAAAAATTGGACATTAGTGATGAAATTGATACAGAGGAGGAAGAAATAATCTAATCCTAGGACCAAAATAACTAGAATGTATTTTCTAATTCTGCTGTGGTGGATTTCCTCTCATCCTGCCATCTTCAACCTCTCTAATCTCCTCCAAATAACAAAGCTGTATTATGTCTGCTGGATTGTATGCTTCAGCCATTTTTCTGCATTGCCTTTGATGTGAGGTTCTTTTTACAGTAGAGTAATGCAAAATCTCTCAGAAAAAATAGAAACGGCCTGATATTAGATTTCTGATGCCTTTTATTATCAGGCCTGCCCCTTGGTTATTTCTGAACAGCCACTGTTTTCTCAGAAAAATCCTGTTTTTCTCAGCAAAAGCTTGATAGTACTCAACCAAATAAGTAGCTCAAGATTGGCTGGACTGTGCCTCTTATGTACATACAGCTCTTGTTCTCTGTATTTTCCCTAGGGAACAACCTTTTACTATACTGTGCATTTTATGAGTATGTCATAGTAGCCCCTATAATAATATCATTGGTTGTCACATTCTTTAAGACAGATGCAGAGTGTAACTTAGGCAATAAGCTTAACTAGATACATTTTATTCTTATGTTTGTGCATTCAGATTAGTCGATTTGTTCTTTAGTATGCAGTCTTTACTAACAGTGCCTCATGGACTTGAATTTCCCTTCATTGTCTGTAGGTATTGCCTGTGGGTACTGAACTTCCACCAGGTGCTTTATCCAGTGAGCAGCTGCCACCTTTTCCAGGACCTTCACTAACCCAGGTGCCCCAAGACTTGGCAGATTTCTTTCTGTGTTCCTACTTTCTTTCACAAATCTTATTTAAAGTCTCCATTGCATGATCTTGGCTTCTGGCTCCTATTTGGCTTTGACTTAGTAACACCTTTCTTTGAAAACACTGTAGCTAATGAAATGGGCCCTACTTAAAGTAAGAAGCTTCATAGTTGTTTTGTTTGCAATGTTGCTTAGGTCATTTAGAAAACATTTGATATTAATATTTCTCATATCTTAGAAAGAAAATACCAAAGTTAACATTTTGCCAGACTCATATGATGACATCTTTTATCATTCACACTTTTTAGAATAGTGAAATTAGAATCGTAAATGTGAGGTTAAGTTCTAAGCCATTATGGAAGTAAAAAATTATGTGTAATCAAAATTAACTTGGAAAGTTGCTTAGAAAAGAGAAGCACATTGATAACTGATAAACTTTTTTCCGTGAGTCCAGTGCAACTAGTTTTTTCTTAAGTGTTTATCATTTCTTTCATTCACCACCTAATGAAATAATTAGCTTACATATAGGTAGGTATAAGGGTAATGTTTGATGAAAAATGTGTACTTTATCTTTTAATATAAAAATCATCCAGCTCAGCAAGATGCTAACATTGTAAGATTAATCACAGAGGAACTGAGACCAGCAACTTGAACTTGAGATTCCCAACTCATACACAGTTCTGCTCACTGAGTGCAATGGCGGTCAGAATTACCTGTAATATTAAAATTATTATTACTCTTTGCCACCCTACCCCACCACCAACACATTTAGTTAAATTTCCTTAAGGAAAGTACTCACTATAAATCCATCATGATCATGAAAAAGCTTCTGACATAGGTCAAGCTAGTAAATTTTGAAACTAAATTAAGAATTTATTTTGGAATCATATATAAGAAAAACATGGTAAATTGCTTACTTGAAAAGCCTAATCTGAATTTAACCCAGTTCTTTTATCCCAATACAGTAAAACATTAAGGAACTTACCACAATAAAGTAATAACTCCAACAGAGAACCTACTCTGTCAGTCACCAAATTTTGATAAAATTGCATGGTGAAAGTCTATAAATTGGGAATTTAGTTTTAAACCTGTTTTCTCATTAAACACATGTATTCAGATAAGTAAGGAAGTTTAAAATGTGGTAAGAAGCAGCACATGAGACACAGGAGCGGGGAAAGAGTAACTGGATAGTGCCCAAATATAGAGGGAGAGGCATAAATGAAGGCTGTGTAAGAATACGTTGATGGAAGCCAAGACAGGTAGATACAGGATTAGAGACTGTGGCAAGGGCAGAAGCTATGGCCTTGGGCTGGATGGCAGTGAGGCCTGATGAACAGGACGGAATGCCTGAACCTCCTTGGCTGCCTTCTGTAGGATAGAAGAAGTGTTGTAAAACCTGAAGAAGAGAATAATATTATATCCCCTGATAGTGACAGAATATATTAATGCCATCTTTTATTCATAGAGACAGAAAAAAAGTATATACAACTGAGAAAGAAATAGAGCAAGGCAGGCATGGTGGCCCACGCCTGTAATCCAGTACTTTGGGAGGCCAAGGCGGGAGGATCACTTGAGGCCAGGAGTTCAAGACTATCCTGAGCAAGAATGAGACCCCCCCTCTCTACAAAAGATAGAAAAATTAGCCGGGTGTGGTGGCGTCCACCTGTAGTCCCAGCTTCTTGGGAGGCTGAGGCAGGAACATCACTTGAGCCCAGGAGTTTCGGGTTGCAGTGAACTGTGATGACACCACTGCACTCCATCCCTGGGTGACAGAGCAAGACCCTATGTGGAAGAAAATAAAATAGGGAACATTGGATACAGTTACTCTTCCAATAGATCTTTATACATTTTTTTTCAGAGATAAAAGAGGACAGGCCAGGTACGGTGCCTCATGCCTGTAATCTCAGCACCTTGTAAGGCCGAGGTGGGAAGATTGCTTGAGCCCAGGAGTTTGATTCTAGCATGGGCAGCATAGTAAGACCTTGTTTCTACAAAAAATTTAAAAATTAGCCAGACTTGGTGGCACACACCTGTAGTCCCAGCTACTCAGGAAACTAAGGCAGGAGGATCACTTGAGCCCAGGCGTTGGAGGTTGCAGTGACCTGTGAGGACGCCACTGCACTCTTCACCCAAACAACAGACTAAGATCCTGTCTTAAAAAAGAGAGAAAAGTAAACAACTTTTTCTATCACTCCGATTAACATTGAACACAGAAGGTTAAAAAAAAAGACTTTGAAATAGCAAAAACATGAATTACTCTAAGGCTTGAGAGACTGACATGCAATTTTGAGAAACTGATAAAATCCTTAAAGCAATGTACTAAATTTTAGCGTAATGAGTTTTATAATAATATATATATATGAAGACAGATGTTACATTGTGCCAATCTAAAGCATAGAACAGTATGTCCTATATTATTTGCCTATATACAGTGGCTCTGAAATTGCCAATGAACTATATTTATACTGTGTTTGTTTTTGTTCAGTCCCAGCAACCTCTAGAAGATCTTGATGCTCAATTGAGAAGAACACTTAGTCCAGAGACTGTTGCAGTGACATCCACAGTCGGTGTAAGTTTTGAAAATCTTGATTAAATCCCCTCCTAACCTTAATGTATTATATTCCTTGAACACAAACTGTAACCTAAACCATTTTTAATACCTTTAACACATATTCAGAGTCCCTGCTTGTTCTAGCGAACAGAAACAAGACAGATTAATGAAAGATTAGCACTGACCCAGTAGTGGGAAATATTTGATTTGAAAAACACTTTTCTAGCCTTAACCTCTGATTAGATTATATTGCAGATCAATTCTGTGGGTTTTGTGTTTTTGCTTTGTTGGAGGCTAAACTTCATGAGGCATGTTTTACTTAAAAGTACGTTCCTATAAATATCCCAGTTACACTCTTAAGTAGCCTATGAAAAAAATTACGAAAGCAGTCAAAGAGGAATAAGACTCTAAATTTCTTCTTGCAAAAGATGTCTTTCTTTACATTAGATTTATTTTTAGGGTGTAAGAAGAAAAAAGAGAACAAAACAAAATCCCTCAGACATAAGTTTCTTCACATATACTATCTTTCTGCCCTTTTACAAAGAACAGAGGAAGGGCAACAAGGCAGAGTTTAAGCATGACTAAAGCTGAAGATTTTGTGGTATTTATGTGAATGTGTTTTGCAGCCTGTGTCCATGGTGGCTCCAACAGCAGTTGCAGAAGCAGGAGCACAGCCTCAGAAGGATGGTGAGAAGCATCCTTCTTTCACCTTACTAATTCCATTCCTACCCATAATTGATTATAGAGGTTTTATTGTTTTGAAAGACACATTCTTGAGAACATCAGTCTATGTGAAACTATCATAACGAACATTTTTATGTTATTTCGTGACTGAGAAGCATTGATGGTAACATCTAAAGTATGAATTATTAGCAAATTTAATTAATCTATTATTATTGGGGGGAGTTATATAAGGGGTAATGATAGATTCTTAGCGTAAGACCCTTTGTCATTAGCTGGGTCTTGCTATGAGAGATTAAGAAATTCAAGCATGCTGTATTTATAAGTTAATTTACCGATAATCTTTTGGCTTTTGTGACACTGGATATACAGGGATAGAGATAAGCTTTTATATCCTGGACATACATTTGTATGGCAATACAATTGTAAGATTTCAATTAATCAGTAAACATTTTTATTTTCAAGGCAATTACATTCTGAATTGGCTGTCTTGTTTTTAAAGAAGTCACTTACAAATCAGTGGAACAGACTAGAAAGTCCAGAAATGGACAAATTAAAGGGGAATATAAATTATCAGGATACCATGTTATCACTGTAGAGGGTTAATGATAAATTTTCAGACCTTGACAATTTTTAACAAACAGTAGTATCTTTGCTAATGAAGGTATCTAATAGTAGAGCAAACAATAATTATTTCCCTCTGTTGGACAAAGCCTAGGAGATAAAGGAGGTAAGGAAGTTTTTCTTGCCTCTAACAGCTTGCCTCATATATAGTTTCATTTTGCTGTATTTCTGGCCAAAAGGAAAAGAAGCTAACTAAAAGAGATGTTTATGTTTCCCTCCTCCATGTATTTCAGTTTCTCAAGGCACAGAAGGTCCTGTCCTAGCAACCACTTCGGGAGCTGGTGTTTTTAAGATGGGGCGATTTCAGGTAAGATAATCACTTTTCTTTGCCTTGATTCCCTCTTTTGGGGGAGTTGTGTATATAATAACATTATTACCTACCTATTTGGGACATAACTGCCAAGCCAATGATATAGTAATACTTCTTTACATGGTACTTTATAGTTATCATTTTTCCCTAATAAAATAATACATAATTTTAAAATATAGAATACTCAGAACAGTGGGTAAACAGATAGTTATACTATCTACCCACCCACCTCCCAATATTACTTTTTTGGGTGCATTTCCTTCTACTCTTTGTTCTCTGCTCAAGCGTGTATCTAAAATTGACCGTTTCTCTTGCTCTGAATATTTTGTAGCTTTTTTTCCCCATCCGTTAGTTTACCTAAACATTCTGCTATTGTTGGTTATTTAGGTCATTTCTAATTATTCCAACTTAATAAGTAAAGTAATAGTAAACATCTTTGTGTATAAAAACATTTTCTATGATTAGGATAATTTACATAGGAGGATTCATTCCATAAGTTAAAATACTGAGTTGGCATCAAGTGATATACTTCATCACTTTATTTACCCAGCTGGTCCGACATGTGAGCATTTTCTGACTCTTAATACATTGTGTGAAGTGGGCTTTGCAAATCCTTTTTTTTTTGATGCTTTCACAGCTACTTTCAGATTATTCTCCTGATAGCCCTTGGAGTTAGGGATAGTAGATGTTTTTCTCATTTGTAAAACTGAGCTTCTGAGAGTTTATAGATGGGCTGAGTTTGTATTGATAATACATGGACAAACCAGGACAAGGATCAGAATCCTCCTTTTAATTACTCTTCAGTTGTATTGATTCTTCAGGCTTAGCTGGCATTTAACAGTTGCTGGGTTTAATTTCTATAGTTTTTCTTATTCACAAAGCGACCTTCAGGATTCGGTGACCTCTGGTTATTTATATTTTGACTAAGACATGAATCTGAATTCTGTTTATGACATGAGATATGGAAGTAAGTCGTTTACTTAGTAAATTGAGCTGGCCACACAATCTGTATCTCAGCACAGATGTGTTCTCTATAATGGTATTCAGTTAATGTTCACTAAGATGGACTGCTCATTGACTGGGAAATAAAGTGATCCCTTTTTTTTTTTGATCCATGATAGTGAATATTCAGAACTTCAGTTTGGTGGTGCTGTTATTTTGTTTGGTTTCATTTTATTTTTAGAAACAGGGTTTCACTCTGTCACCCAGGCTGGAATGCAGTGGTATGATCATAGCTCACTGCAACCTTGAATGCCTGGGCTTAAAGCAATCCTCCCGCCTTGGCTTCCCAAAGTGCTGGGATTTTATAGGCGTGAACAACCATGCCTGGCCCAGAAGTTCAGTTTTTAATCTCATTCTGTTCCCTTTTCCATCAGGTTTCAGTTGCAATGGATGATGCCCATAAAGAGGGTAAAAATAAGCCAGAAGAGGCAAAATCTGTTCATTTTGAATCCAGCACTTCAGAGTCCTCAGTGCTATCGAGTAGTAGTCCAGAGAATACCATGGTGAAGCCAGAGCCTAACGGGGTGACCACTCATGGTATCTCTTCAGATGTGCCTGATAGTGCCCCCAAAACTCCAGCCCCAGAGGCAAAGTCAGAAACTGGGCAGCCTACCAAGGTTGGGCGTTTTCAGGTGACAACTACAGCAAACAAAGTGGGTCGTTTCTCTGTATCAAGAACTGAGGACAAGATTGCTGAGGCAAAGAAAGAGGGACCAGTGACATCTCCTCCCTCTGTGGATTTGGAACAAGCTGTTCTTCCTGCTGTGATACCAAAGAAAGAAAAGCCCGAACTGTCAGAGCCTTCACATCTCAATGGGCCGTCTTCTGACCTGGAGGCTGCCTTTCTAAGCAGGGATGTGGATGACGGTTCAGGTAGTCCACACTCCCCACATCAGCTGAGCTCAAAGAGCCTTCCTATTCAGAATCTGAGTCAAAGCCTTAGTAATTCATTCAACTCCTCTTACATGAGTAGTGACAACGAGTCGGACATTGAAGACGAAGACTTAAAGCTGGAGCTGCGAAGACTACGAGAAAAGTAAGTATATTTTCTCCCGTGAAAGAATAATGGCAGGTAATGTTTTAAGACCTAGATCTCAGTGCTAGGATTAATATTCTTTTCACTACAATATGCTGATGTCTGTCTTGTAAAGAGAAGGAGGTATGCAAAAGCTAAAGTTCCCCGACTGTGGTTCATTAGATTCTCTTACACTCACAAGGACCTGTAGCATTTTCAGTTGAAGAACTTCTCCAGCACCTTTGTATTGCTACTATAATATTATTTTATTAATAGCACCTTTTGTCACCATTAACCACTCTTGGCTATTTATTAGCCTACCAAATGAATCCAGTAATGGCACTAGGATGTGCGATAATGTTGTCAAGTTTTGGTAATTATATTTGGCAGATTGGATCAGAGTAGCAAATTTAGCTGTCCTGCCCATGGCCTCAAAAGTCAGGAATTCTTTCCCCTAACACATTATCAATCATTTGTTGTTGGCTAGGAGCTTGCTGGGATATGGCTTGGGTAATGGAGGCCAGCAAGGTGAGTTGACAAGCCAGAGTCTCGTGGTGTAGTACATTTGGGGAAAAGGTTCGTTAGTAACTAGTAAATACTTGAATACAGGTTTAAGACTATGCTGTTAATTCTTGTTTGAATAAAGAGAGTTATGTTTGTTTGATTTATCTTTCATAGACATCTTAAAGAGATTCAGGACCTGCAGAGTCGCCAGAAGCATGAAATTGAATCTTTATATACCAAACTGGGCAAAGTTCCCCCTGCTGTCATTATTCCCCCAGCCGCTCCCCTTTCAGGGAGAAGAAGGCGACCCACAAAAAGCAAAGGCAGCAAATCTAGTCGCAGCAGTTCCTTGGGGAATAAAAGCCCCCAGCTTTCAGGTAAAAAGCCCTAGGCCAGGTCAGCCATGGCTGTCCCATCTTTTGTTTCTGTCTCCAGCTACATATATGACCTATTAAACATTTGTTATTTTTGTCAAATTTCAAAGGTTTCCCTAATATCCTTGCTTCCTTGACTTCCCCTCTCCCCATATTTATTGTGCCTCTTTTTGAGTCTGTGGAAGTAAACTGGATGAGTACAATGGCTTATTCCGTTGTAATCCATATTGCTATGTACTGGTAATCTTCATTTATAGTTGTTTGTAAGGATAAACATTTAGCTTTTCCCATTAACTCTTAGCATTTAACCAAACTTTTGAGCAATTGGAGGAAAATGCATTATTCTCTGTTTAGTAAAGTTTGGGTAGATGCTTCCTTTTAATGATTGAGTTCATCATAATTGCAACTGAGATGAATGTAAATGTCATATAGATACTTGAGTGTGTCTAAGTGGTAACTTCCTTGATTAGAGTTTTTATTTCATTTATCTATATTGGGATAAAGAACTTGCTAGTGATTATAATCAAAGAAATAGTTAAGTCATAATCTCTTGTAAGGAACTATAGTTTGTCTATTTAAATAGAAGATAAACAGCTTTTATCCTTTGGTGAAATTATGGTACTGTTAACAGATAATTAGTTCAAAAGTAAAAGAGGGCTATAAAGTATGTTAGAAAGCAGTTGCAAACTTCTTAGCAGCTCCATTCTATGCAAGCTTTCATAGATGCCTAAATCTTTTCTCTAGCACATTTGAACCAATTCATGAAACCAGTCAACAGAGATGTGATTGTAAGAGAGTTCAGCTGATCTCTGCTCTGATCCCAGTCAGATTCTGACCCCAATTTTGACATGCTTTTTGAGTGGACTTCTATTTAACTATAAATAGTAACTAGGGAACAGAGAGGTTAATCAATTTTAGGACAATTGACCTAGTGATTGAAAGCCACCTACCAAGAATAATTTTAAACATTCATTACTCTGTAATCACATATTTCGACATCTCTTTTATATCTGATGTGGTGCATATTTATAAGAAAGTCTAAGCAGAGACTACCTAATAAGCCCATTTATATTATGATCCAATCTTTTCTAATAGGATTAAAAAAGCCATTGGGGAAGTGCCAGATGGAATCCTGTATCCACTGCATTTCTAGTCTTCTCACTCTGCTCAGGCTTGTGGACCAGCTAGGTTTTCTAAAGCTAAAATGCTTCTGGGATAATTCAGATAGCCCTATTGCCTGTTGATTCTTAGTGTCATTCCTCATTTCCTTTTTTGTTAGTGAGGACTTTGATCTTTCATCGATTTATAGCTTTTGCCCATCGTTATGCACTCAGTGGGACAAATTGAAGGAATAAGAACAATGCCTATTTGAGTGCATTCGGAAAGCTGGATGTGTTTGCTCATGCCCCTTTATCTTCTGGCAGGTAACCTGTCTGGTCAGAGTGCAGCTTCAGTCTTGCACCCCCAGCAGACCCTCCACCCTCCTGGCCACCTCCCAGAGTCCGGGCAGAATCAGCTGTTACAGCCCCTTAAGCCGTCTCCCTCCAGTGACAACCTCTATTCAGCCTTCACCAGCGATGGTGCCATTTCAGTACCAAGCCTTTCTGTTCCAGGCCAAGGTAAGAAATCAAAGCCACCATCATCTTCCAAAAACATTAACTTGGAGATACGACCATCCCTGGGACAAAAGCCTGATGAATAACCTATTATTAAGGTGGGATGAAAGACCAGCTGACTAGAACACGGCCTGTGTGTCGTACACTTCATCTTCGGGCTGAAAAGGGAAGTTGAGTAATGATTAGAGTTGGTGGGCTCATTGCTCCCATCAGGTGAAATAGCTTTTTTTCAAGGGATTACAGTGAAAAGTTACATCTACAACCTATGTGAATAACTGATTTGGGATTTGGAACTTATGTTTTAATACTGGGCTGTTTCCTGGATGAAATTCTAGGGAGTTTTAGCAGTTTCTGAAGGCTAATGCATTTTCTTAGCCAGTGTAGAATTTTGTAACTTCTAAGTATGGGAGTGGTATACTAAAATGAATAGCCCTGCAGTTACCTACTTTCCAAATATGGTTTTGTTTATTAATAATTGATGAAAACATTCCTGCAGAGGAAAGAGCTCTAGCAACATTAGAACAAGAATCAAAAGGAATTGGGTATCTGGGTGGAAGAGAATGGAAAAAATATAGGCAAGTAGCTTAAGTGCCTTTGCCAGTTTCACAGAAACGAGAGATTAGATTGTCTCTTCACGAGATGAGTGTACTTGGTTGGTGAGAAGCACAGACTAGCTCGCATTATTCCCACTGAGAAAAGCATCAGTATTTTGCTTGAAAAGAATTGAGACCTGGTATTTCCAGTCTTACGTATGTGACTCCCTCCAGAAGCTTGTTCTTTTGTGTACCATCTTAGTGCATTTCACCACTCCAGCCTCGAGTTTCTAACATCTTGTAGCTGTGTTCTGTCTCTTCTCCTCTCTCTGTTCTTCCTTGTTTTTCCCCTCTCACAGGCTGTGCGAAGTTTAACTGTGCATCTGAACAGGTGACATTCAAACCTGGTGGCAGGAGGACCCGATTTCTGAGTACGCCCTGCTTGGCTCTTTGTGTGTAACACCTTTACTCCTTCCTCGTCCTCGTTTTTCTGCTGCTTGGAGCTGATGTTTCACACAGTCCATTTTCATTTGTCTCTTTCTGTATATCATCGACTCAGTGGCTTGGCTGAATTACTGTTACCCTCAGAAGTTTGGGTCTGCACATCAATTATGATAAAAGGTTTAGAAATAATAATAGGTTTCTACAAATTTCACTATAACTTTCTGGTAGAATTGCTTCTTCATAGAGCTGTGACAGAGGGTATCAAGGCTGTAGACTGCTGGGTCATTTAGAATAATGAAAACTACACTCCACGGTCCTATTCATCTCACTGCCCTGCCCCTAGAAGTGACAGGAAGCATCTTGACCACTGATGCACTTAGATCTTGGCAGCAGGTAAAAGTTATACCCTGTTTTTTCCATTCTTTTTCAGAGTAGGTTGAAATCTTTTTTTTCTCCCCCTCAATTAAGCCTAAGAATCTACCAGTTGAAAAGATGCTAGAATCTCTTCATTAGATCACCACTGCCCTCAAACCCCATAAAATCAATAGTTCAAAAAGTGGTTATTCTGATAAAGCATTTATTCTGCTAAAGACCAAAGCCCAGAACCTACAAGTGAAAATGGTCTTTTTAACATAATTGCTGGGATTTCCCAGCTTTCTGCTTAGAAACAAGGCACAATAGCAAGTCACCTTCTTCCCCATATGTGACATGAAGATGTGGCCTGTGTCCTAGGGTTGTTGTACATGTCAGGGAAGACCGGTTACACAGAAACAAGTAGCATGTGGGAAGCATGCATGGTTTCCCTCGGGTTAGCCAGTGCCTCCCTGGCACATGAGTAGGTGGTCAGTAAATGTTTATTGAAATAATAGTTTAAAAAACAAACAAACAAAAACATAGTTCAAGTAGAAAAAGCTTTTTGGAAGTTGGTGAAAGATGTTCTCTATTCAGGCCTCAAACTTCTGATGTGGTTATTGAAGTGCTTTGTAAATGCATGTGCTAAGGCCATCACTGTTTCCGAGTGTGGTCCAGGGGTCTTTGGGCCTCTTTGTGGTGGCAAGGATTTACACCTCCCTTTATTCTCTGTAGTGACCAGATTTAAAGGGAAGTACAACACATTAACTTCCATTTCCCTTACTCACACATTCATAACCGTTCCACACTGCTGTCTTCTTCACCGGAACTAGTGACGGATCGGCTGTACTTGAGGCAGCCTCTCACTGCCTTTGCCTTTCCCCACGATCACTAGTCCAGGGCTATTTAACAAAGAAAGGGGTAGAAGGCAGTACCCAATTTGGTAGTTTTCCAAGCATGTGTGATATTTGAATACCCAGATTAATAATTTTGCTGGTTAGACTAACCTGGACTATGCCTAACACTTGACACTTAAATAAACATTTAATTTGTATGTCCAGCTAGAAAGATGAAAATACATTAATAGTAGGAGGCAAGGGTTTTGAAGTAGAATGGGAGATATGAGGGCTATGATATACAGCCTGAAATGTCTGAGAGGGAAGAAAGAGAACCAAGGCTGCTTTTTGTGAAGTATAATGTGACGACTACCACTTTAATTAATTCTATAAGTTTTTACCCCACACTTAAAGGTAGGTGATATTTCCCCTGTTGTTCAAATGAAAGTTGTTAGAAATATTAAATCTTATCACTTCCCTTTGGGTCTAAAACGAGAGGCCCTACATCTCTTGAAGGCACATCAGGATACGTCGTGTAAGCCTGGTGAACAAATCCCAAGAGGCAGACTTAAAGAAATATGGAGGCATGCTACAGTGGCTCATGCAATCCCAGCAATTTGGGAGGCCAAGGCAGGAGGATCACTCGAGGCCAGGAGTTCGAGACCAGTCTAGGCAATGTAGCAAGACCCTGTATCCATAAAAAATTTTTAAAAAAGATTATGAAGAAATATGCAAAGAAAACAAGTACTTTAAAAGGGTGGGGATCTTACTAGTTCGGGATATATTATTCTATGCTCTCAAAATAGATAATGGTTTGGAAGCACGGCTTGGCTTACTGTTCTATTTATGTTCAGAGGTTGCTTGTTTTCCACATAGTTTTAAAGATTTTTCTGGAAGGGAAGGGGTTGGTATATATGTCTAGGATGTGGAACTATAATAACCAATTTAAAGAGATTTAAAGCTGTAACAATGGTAATGTCCATCTGTCAGCCTACTGTGGTAAGATTGCTAATGCATTTAATTAAGTGCTTTTTAACAACCCAGCTGGAGAGACAGGAAGTGAGACAGGGTCAGTGGAAACACTGCTTGGGTATTTGAAATTCAAGCAGTGAGACCTAAGAGATTGGCGTTCCTCCCCCATTCCAGAGCCATGGTGCGGGGCATTGCTCCTTTAGATACAGAGATTGGGTGTGGAAACTCAGCATCTGTTAGCCAGGTAACACAGCCCATCGGATGATCATGTCAGGCTAACAGCCGGTTACATACATCCCATAGAACTGTGTCTGTTCCTTCAGAGTGGAGGAGGGGGGAAAAAGGAGAAAAAAAAAACTCTCTGTATGGCAAGGACTACCCATCCGTCTCCCCTCCTGCCTTCTCTTGCTGGGCCTTTGTGTGCTGTTTAAGATTCTAAATATTTTACACGGATGTTTCTTTATCTTTAACACATTGCTTCTTTCTTTGTGCTTCAGGGAAGATGGTGAAAAAAGTCTGTCCTTGCAACCAGCTCTGTAGTAATTATCTTTTTTTTCTGTTACTTTTGGTCGTTGATTGCAACACCTTTTACCTATAAGTTCTTTTGAACTCTGAAGCCTCACAGCTCCCTGATTCCTAACTTCCATCTAGCTCTGCACCCTTTTCTAATACGTTTTTTAACACACTTAATTGCTAACTACTAGCTATTCTTCCAGACTGAGAAATCACCTCCTAGTCAGTGCTGTCAGTGAGGACCCCATGTGAGCCTAGCTCTGTGGCAGTCACGGATCGGTGATGCCCGTGGGCGGTGCAGTGTATAGGGAGGTCAGAGAGGCCTGGCTCCTGTGGGAAAGAGAGCCCTGTAGCCAGCAGGTAAGTGGCAGGCACTGTCAGAGCCCCACTGGAAACCCAGCAGGTGAAAGCATCTGAAAGTCCACGTAGTGGGCGATGTCTGCTAGATCGGTGAGGAGAGAAATACCACTTTGTAGAGTTGGGCTTCTTAGACCGATGGCTTCTCGTTAAAGTACAGATAACTCAGCAACCCAGCAGGCTACTACAAGGTTCTCGCGAGGGTCAACAGGAAAGCTCCATACTTGGGTGCTGGCCAGTGCATTGTGTCTCGTAATAGATCATCGTTACTGCGATCTGACGGCGTGGGGGTGGGGGAACTGTATTACCACGGCAGGAGAAAATCAAAGTAAGAATTCTCGGGAGCAAGTAAATACTACTCTTCGGAGCTTTTTCAGAAGAACTGAAAAAGGTTTAGAGACTGACTAGCACACTCTCTGGAAGTCCTCTCTGCTGTGGTAGCTTTGATGGTCAAGTCTGCTTTTCCCAGGAGTTAATTTCTAGTCAGAAAGGGATGCGTTTGTTTCTTTCTTTAACGGGAAGCCTGTTCACAGAAGCCAGAATAAGGTTTAACTGTATGGTTAACTCTTCCTCATGGGATAAACCCCACTTTTGGAGTTCAGTATTAGGTAACAGAGGTTACGATGAAAGATGAAATTTGGTTCTAAAGGGGCCTCACAGTACCAAGGGCGACTAACGCCACACTGGAGAGGCGTGACTCCCAGCATGAGCCTTGTGCACAAGCGGCGCTCACCTCTCCTGAGCTCCTCGTATTCAGCTTCCGACAGCCCTGCTCTCCCGTGGTTATTTCTGGCTTTTGTTTTGATTCTCTCTCGCATCAAGCTCACCAAGCAATAACCATTCACACGGGATGGCAGTCCTCGTGCATGCGATCTGCTTGCTTTCCAGATCTGGTCACTGTCCTGGCCGCCCATCCTCACTGCCTGTGCTTCCCTCTTCACCTCCGGCTCACGGTTGCTATTTGCAGAAGGCTGTTTCCTGTGCTTTGATACTTTTCCACTTGGGTTCCTGTACTCTAGGGGAAGTGACTCTTCCCTGCACACTGTATGTGCGATAGCAATCCCCGCGCGGCTCCAGCGGGCACCGGGAAGTGAGCTGACATGCACACTGCCTTGGTTCCGTGTCTTGCCACGGCGGTAAGCAGCATGTGACCTTCCTCACTCTGCACCTCACCTCAGAGTTAGCCGTTAGCGTAGCACAGACATGCTGGCGTGTGCCATTCCCTGGGTGGCAGGGTAGAAACTGGACTTGAGACCAGCAGCGGTCAATAACGGGCTTTAAATGGCAGGGTTGCGTTAGGCGTGCCACTGTGCTCTGGTGCTGCTTCGACCTGGAAAGCAGGGAAACGCATGCACTTATTTAGCCCCCGCATTACTTGGGTGTCTTAGGGTCTAGTGGCTCACAACTTAACTTTAGTAGCTTTTATTTATTCTGTAGCAAGTGTGAGATCTGATAAGAAAGTGGGGGGTGAGAGAAAAAAAACAAGACCGTGACTCTTCTTTCCCTCTTCCCTAATCGTGCCTCTTCGAATCATCTTCAGTGTGCCCTCCAGCAGAACCGAAATCAGGCAGGACACAGACTCCTTCTTCCTTTCTCATCAAACCATAGAAATAGAATTCCTTCATCACAGCCTCAAAGCTTCCTCCTTCCCTTTGCACCCTGCCTCAGCTGCATTTTCCTGTTGCTTCTTCGTGGTGTTCTGGGAAGAGTGGGGAGAAGGGGTGAGAATCCTTGAACCAATTGAAACTGAGGTCATCTTCAGGAAAACCTTGTCTTCCTGGAGTTGAAAGATTCAGGCACACCATGCAGTCCCTTCCGCATGAGAACTGGGGGAGGTCGAAGGCTTAACTCTTAACCAGGTTTATGTTTGCAAATTCGTGTTTATGGGTCCAGGTGAAAAAGTTTTTTGAACAGAGCATGCTCTTTCTGTTTTAAAGAATGTGGCAGTGTCCACATGGTCTGGGAACCCCGTCTTCTCCTTGGCCAAGCACCTACCTTTGCATTCCTATTCCTGCTTTAACCCAGCCAAATGCACAAGAAATCCTTTTCTTCTGGCCCCGCATTCTGCCAAATTCCAGATCAACTAGCCTTGTTGACCACTTCACGGCTCCCTCATCAGTACGATGCTGGGAACGGAGCGCTGGCAGCTGCAGTGCGCTGAGATGCTCCGTGAGGGGCTGAGAGAGGTCCCTGCCTTTTGCGCCTGCCATTGTCCTGAATCGTTCAGCCTTACTCAAGAGAAACTGTTTTTATTACCCTTTATACCAAAACAAATGGCTGAATAAAACCTTAGAAAGTCTTCCTTTCTTGCATGGCTTCCCAGTTCATCCTCTCCCCATTCTGTGGTTTGCCATTCATTATCCTGTGAAGTTTTCCCTCTTCCTGAAATCATAACCCAGGCTGCTTCTAATGCTTATATTCTGTTCCTTCTTACGACTCTAGGGACCAGCAGCACCAACACCGTCGGGGGCACAGTGAACAGCCAAGCCACCCAGGCTCAGCCTCCTGCCATGACGTCCAGCAGGAAGGGCACATTCACAGATGACCTGCACAAATTGGTAGACAACTGGGCCCGAGATGCCATGAATCTGTCAGGCAGGAGAGGAAGCAAAGGACATACGAACTATGAGGTGAGGCGTCCCTTTTTGCCATTAGACCTAATCTGTCAGAGCATCACTTAACACACAGCTAAATCCAAGGTGATACAAACTACCTAGGCTACTTCACATTGAATGCCATGACATTCTTCAGTAGCTCATGAATTTTAACACTCTTTAGAAAAACAAGGCAAACATCACCCAGGTGCCCTTTTATTCTTCCTTCCCTGAATTGCTGGCCTCTTACGAGCCAGCTGTTTCTCCCCTTTTCCTTCAGCATCCTGAACTGCACGTGCAGACACGCACATACACATGACAGCCTCCCTTCTACTCGGAAGAGTCATTTTCACTCTTACGTGGTAAATATAAAGAGCCAGTGAATACCGTGGAAGGCTTTGTTTCGTTTTGCCATACCCGACAAAACAGATGTGTGTTTCAGTGCTGCCCATTTTACACCCACGGGCATCAAACCCACAGCAGACTTCACCTGTGGTGGTTTTGTTTCCAGGGCCCTGGGATGGCGAGGAAGTTCTCCGCGCCTGGGCAGCTGTGCGTCTCCATGACCTCAAACCTGGGCGGCTCCGCCCCCATCTCTGCAGCATCAGCTACCTCTCTAGGTCACTTCACCAAGTCTCTGTGCCCCCCACAGCAGTACGGTTTCCCAGCTGCCCCGTTCGGCGCTCAGTGGAGTGGGACGGGTGGCCCAGCACCACAGCCGCTTGGCCAGTTCCAACCTGTGGGAACTGCCTCCTTGCAGAATTTCAACATCAGCAATTTGCAGAAGTCCATCAGCAACCCCCCAGGTTCCAACCTGCGGACCACTTAGACCTGAGGCCGTTAACCGAGCAGATCTGGGGCAGGAGATGGAATGCTGATGGGGGGGGGGTGGGAAAGTAGCCTCTTACTAACTGCTAGTGCTGCGTTTAACTGGTTATTTCTTGCCAGAAGGGAATGTTCTAATACCGCTTTGAGCCCACAGAACGGAGAGTCTCTTTCCCCCTCCATTTATTGGAGTGGGACAAGAACAGCTTTCTTGTGAAGGGGCAGCTTCAGACCCGCTTTCCTGTTCTTCCATACCCAACAGTGAGGGCTTGGGCGAGGAGAGAGAATCTTGTTCATGAGGAAGCCACTAGAGAGCTCGATGTAAAATCAAAGCCCATCTGTGTTTTCAAGTGGGCGGGGCTCCTAATTTTGGTACACGCCCCAAATCCCTTACTCTCCCTCCACAGTCCAAACCACAAAACACACAAAAAAAGCTATTGGGCTATCTCCTGCCTTGCTCCTACCCCTCTTCCCCCGCCCCTTCTTTTTGTTTTTCTTTGCTTTTTAGAACCCAGTGGAAAATACCAGGGGACTGGGGGTGTAACCCTTATGATAGGTCATTAGTGCTTCAAGCAAAAGATACTAGCAGCTTTGACTGCAGCATTAGCAATTAGGGAAAAAAATTAAGTTCCCTGCGGACATGTAACTTTGCCATCAGTTTTGATGTGGAAACACTGTGATATTATATAAATGTTGTTGGACAACAGTAGTTTTAAAGGTAACATGAAACGTTTAAAAAGTTCCAAAAAAAGCTAGCTCTGTCCTTTACTTATTGAGACACTTTAACTTTTTTCCTTTGTATTTCCATTGTATTAGATAAATAAATGTGAATGTAAAATTGTATAAATTACTGTACTTGAATACTTCTGTTCTCCCAGTGTTGCTTGCTGGACATTTTAGTGCCTTGGACTTCTATTGCTTCTGCCATTAGCGTCAACTTACCAGACCCCAGATCAGCAAAGGGCATGTGGGGGAAATCGTAGGTCCATGTGACCCTAGCGGTGGATATGCCAAAGGGAAGTTGAAAGAGTATTTTTTTTAAGTCATTCAACAATTTTGTCTAGAGCAGGTGTAAGATGAGTCAGGTGAGAAGTTGGCATCAGTGGGTGAAAGCAGAGGTTCTGTTTCAGGAACAGTTGAGGGAGGGGCATTGTAACAAAATCGGGCAATTTAGAAGACTGAGTGGTGTGTGCTCAGTGAAAGAGAAAGACAGACTCGAGTGGGGGACAAACCTGTTTAGAAGACACTGATGCCCAGCCAGCGACTGTCGCGAACCTCACTTATTTGAGCTGGGCTTGGACAGACAAGATCTAGAAGAAATTAAACATAAAGGGAAGGGGGGAGCGGCTAGTTTTTACGTTGGAAAATGTGATAGGTAGCGAAAAGCCACAGATGGAGAAAGTTGCTCTAAGAAGAACTGTTTGGATCGCTTTCCTCTTGCACATGGACCGTGCGTTTCTCAGCTTGGGGTACTATGTTTTGTGGAAAATGAATCTTTCTACATCTGAATAAGCATTGTCAAAAAGAATGCTTATTCCTACTCATTTCCTCTATGGTGTCCAAATGGTTGCAGGATTATACTCTATTGTGCCACGTTTATTTCTAAAATTATAACCAATATTCTCGTATTTTCATATAAATATTTCCTTTAATAACTGCAACCAACCAGTATTATTTAGTGCTATGCCTAATTGTAATGGGCAGTTCTTTCGTTTTCAGAGCTTTCCAGAAATACTGTCCTAATTGGCTATGTTTGGGAACTCTGTTATCTCTGAGGATGGATAAAGAAGCTAGGACTCTTAATCTGGGGGTGCCTCTTCTCCTGACTCTCAGTTGGGAAACTGACACATCCCCAACCTTTGACCCCCCCGCCCCCACCTGCGCCATTGGCGCATCCCGGGAATCCCAGCCGTAGGAAGAGCCGAGTCCTGTTCGTTCCTTACAGGCCTATTTTCTTGACCGCGTGGCCGAGGCCCCACAGACGCGAGTGAGAGCTGAGGGTTTAGGAAGGTCGGGTTGAAAAGGCCAGCGGTTTCAAGCCCTGCTTTAAAGCTGTTTACTCATTCTCTGCTTGTGATTCTTGGCGAGAGGGTGAGAGTGAGGCCAGCACAGAGTGCCGAGTAAGTGAGAAGTGGATGCCTGAGACGATGGAACAAACCTTTATCCCAGAGGAACGAGGGAGCCAAATGCAGCACATTATTGTTTTGTTATTTTGGTTTAATAATTTTGAGATCTTTTCACTCATACACAAAAGCTAAGAACTGGTTTTATTTACTGTTGATTTTTCCCCCTCCTGTGGATGAAATAACTGAAGCCTAGAGGAAGGAACTAGTGCTACTGAACTCTTTAAATTATTTTTGTGTTAATAGTACACTGAGTATCTTTTTCCACATTAAAAAAAAGATCTTTCTGAATTATAAATGTTTTCCTTACATTATTTAACAATGTATACTGTTTAAAAAAACAAACTGAATTCAAACTTCGGGGGTTTCTCAGCAGCCATTAATTGTACATTCTGCACTAACTCTGGGTGTTGCGCTTCTTGTACGATTGCGCTTTGTGCTTCAGTTTGTTACCTTTGTAGACTTATTTAATGAAACCATTCAAATAAACAAAACTTGCTTTTGTTGAGCTGTGAGGTTTCATTTCCAGCAAATTCCCTTTTCACATTCTCATTGGCATTATTTTGAGTTACGTACAACTTAAAACTGGATTCTTAATTCCCAGGAGTTTGTTTTTTAATCAACAGTATTGCCCTGAACTAAGATTATGTTGCAGACAAAGGTGGTATTTTTTCCTGAGCAAAATGGTAAGGATATCAAAATCAAAAGCTGGAATATGTGACCAAATCCGCGCCAACAGCAGGTGAAGTAAGAGCCTTCAGAAGACAGGGAGGTCAGGGTAAGCTGCGACCTCTTCATCTTCCAAAGGAATAGAAATAGTCAACTGCTGCTCTCAGAGTTCCATACCTCAGTCCAGCCTCCCACAGATGGGGCTGCGATCCAAAAATCAGAAGTTACTGCTTCAAGATTAGGCACCGCACAGCCCAAAATTCACCTAAAAAAGTAAGATGGCAAACTCATTAGTTGGGGGAAAGAATTCTGAAACATCTAAACACTGTGAAAAACCAATTCCTGTTAAGGTGGATTACATCTCACATCTGAAATGGGGACATAAAAGCATCTACGGTATTTGACCATCCCTAACCCAAAACCCGAATGCTCCCAAAGCCCAAACTTCCTGAGTACCACCTGATGCCAAGTGGGACATTCCACCCCTGACCCCATGTGACAGGTTTTAGTCACATGAGTTTATTCAGCCCCAAGGGTAGAAACCCTCCCAGCCCCAGCTGCAATGTATCTTGTGCACAAACTTTGTTTTGTGCACAAAATTATTTAAAATATTGTATAAAATCACCTTCGGGCTATGTGTATAAGATAAATATAAAACATAAATGAATTTCATATTTAGACCTGGGTCCCACCCCCAAGCTATCTCCTAATGTACAGGCAAATACTCTAAAATCCAAAACACCTCTGGTCGCATGCACTTCAGATAAGGGATACTCGGCCTGTAAGATATTTTCCATTTTGTTAAAAAGTAGAGGATTTGCTTCTCAAAATGCCTTTTCCTTGGTCTTAGATCATTATTTCCTTGCTTAGGAAAAAATGTTGGTCTTGAAATAATGTAGGATTATGATGTCGTAAACCCATAAATTAGAGATTATGTTAAATAGCAGATGAAGACTGCAGCCTGGATGCATGCAAGCAGTAAAAAGCACTGCTGCCCCCGTTCCTGTCATGAGGTACAGTACTCAGGTGGACAACATTAAAAGCATGGAGACCCGAAAGGAAAGGAAGCAGATTACTCCAAACAATTTAATGTAGGCAATTGTTAAAGCTCATGCTTAGTACCAAGTCTGGCCTCTCTTGCTTGGTGGCAGGCAGCCCGTGGTGAGTCCCAAAATGTCCTACCTTTATTAACATAATAGCTTAGAAATAAATAGTGGAAAGCCACAAGAGCCAAAGAAAAGGTATTTCGTCTGTCCAGTGCCTCCCCCCGGCAGTGTGTGACAAGCTTCCTGAAGGCGCTCAGCTCTATCTACAGTAGACTCAGTCAAATCCTCTGATAAGGTTCAGAATAAGCAAAATAAATCCTTAGAAATTAAGTTCATTCCCCAGTAATAACGACCAACATCACGACCAAAAAGTCGTTTTCCAAAGTCCTTTTGTGGCAAGAGTCCAGTGATGTAGGCTGAGCCTCGGTTAAGATGGATCCAATTTCCTTTTCTTCGTGTCCTGGCTCTTCTTAAGAGATTCCCAGTTACCTGTGGATGATGAAATGGCTCACAAGTAACTGCCATGATTTTAAAATAAAGAATAAACTGACAGTTAATAATTTCTGGAATTGTATTAATGATCCTAATTAGACTAGGAGCCCATGAATGAAAATTATCGTTAAGAGGAAAGCAGAGCCCTCGGCTAACCCTATACCAAAGGGTGTCACACTCAGGAAGGACCTGCCTTTAGTAGGAAAAGCTCAGTGTGCCCGTCCTTAAGCTTCCTGCTCCTGTCAAAGGCTGCGCCTGAAAGCAGGAGCCCCCAGGAGAAGTTCTGGCTCTGAAATCAATTACCTTCTACTTACACTGCTTACTCCCCTGAACGATTCCAGCCAACTTAAGTGCCATCCTTCCCTTAAAATTCAGAGTTAACTTTTGTTCCTAAACACTTCTCTTCCTACCTGTTACATGCTGCTCAGTGCCGTACGTTTGGGGTTGCCGGGGTCCAGATTTTGCTTGTGGTTTCTGGTGGCAAAGGTCGTGCGGGGTCCTGTTCGGGATCACCGTCTTGTTGTTTGATGCGAGTGTCTCAGATGTCTGGGGTGGTTCTGCTCCAAACAAGGGCTTGATAGCACTGTCCAATCCATCTGGAGTCAGATCCCACATTTCAGGATTATCTTCAAGATTCTCTACAGAGATCACAGAAAAAAGTGTAGCATCAGCAAATAATGAAGTATTCTCACAGAAAGTCCTGGAAACACTGGCCATGGGAAATCCCGTGCCTTGAGTGCCCTGTGATAGTTTTTGGACTCTCTATCCCTGAAAGTGCACTGAAGCTTCCCTTTGGTTAGCACGAAAGCAGAGCTAGGTACCTGCATCGGCCAGAACCCCTGCCAGTAAAAACGAGGACTCCTAACGCCTCTTCGAATGCACATGTGACTAAAAGCATAAAGCACAGTAGCCGGTGAGCATTTCGTGGGTATTTACTGATTAATTCCTGAGTCACACCTGCAAGGCAGGCCTTCTCAGTGCCCAGTGCTGTGCGGCACAGGAGGGGCCGGAAGGGCAGCTGTAGTTTACACCGGAGAAAAAGGACGAGTCGGAAATCACGTAACTAAATGGAACTTCAGAGATTAGGTCTCTTGCCCCTCTTGCGAGCGGAGCAGTCTGAGTGCAAAGCTGCCCGGGGCCAGGCGGGCTCAGACCGTGCAAGAACTCAAGATCACTGAGTCCCAGTCCTACCTACAGGTCTACCTGGGGTTTGTTTTTGTGGATTTTTTTTTAATTAACAGAGTTTAACTGGGCAAAGGATGATTCATGAATCAGGCAGTCCCCAAGCCAGAATAGGTTCAGAGAGACTCCCTATATGTGGTTTAAAATAACTGTTCCTTCTCAATAAAATGAGAAAAACAAAAGTTCGTTTCTCCTTCAACAGCAAAAGTAAAGGGGTTATTGGAAGCCACCTACTCCAGTGGCGGGCTTGCTTTTTAAAGCCGTAACCCTCGCTCACACAAAACCTTAAGCAGAAATCCAATATGTGAAATACATTAGAAGAACAGTGGCTCTGGTTGTCCGGTAGAGAGGTAGGGAAAAGCCCTAGAGGACGCCCTACTCCACACGCCACCCCGGGAGCTTCTCCAGTGGTTTAGAAGCTAAACATCTGGATTAACTCATTATTAAGGATATCCTAGGACAGTAAGAGGTGTGTTTTTTTCACATTAATTTCAGCCTGTCAGTGCTGAGGAGGATATTTTTTTTTTTTCTCTCTGAGACAGAGTCTCACTCTGTCTTCCGGGCTAGAGTGCCGTGGCGTCATCCTAGCTCACAGCAACCTCAAACTCCTGGGCTCAAGTGATCCTCCTGCCTCAGCCTCCCGAGTAGCTGGGACTACAGGCATGCGCCACCATGCCCAGCTAATTTTTTCTATGTATTTTTAGTTGTCCAGCTAATTTTTCCTATTTTTGGTAGAGACGGGGTCTCGCTCTTGCTCAGGCTGGTCTCGAACTCCTGAGCTCAAACAATCCTCCCGCCTGGGCCTCCCAGAGAGCTAGGATTACAGGCGTGAGCCACCGCGCCCGGCCCTGAGGGGGATATTAATGAACCAAACATGGAACAAGTCCTCTGTGAATATTCATAATTTGTAGAGAAAAACTGGGCAGAAGTTCATTTGGTCTGGAATAAGCCCTTTCTTTGTTTCTGCTCTCTGGGCAAGGACCACTGCTCTACCAAAAAAAAAAAATGTCTCTATTATTCCCACTGAATCTGGACTCTGAAATAAACTAAAGTCATCAAATAATCTATCAAAAGCTCCCATTATCTTCAAACCCAATTTTTCCTTCTATTTAAAGACATGACAGAAACAAAACTTTCTAATGCAAAGATGGACAAAGTATCTGAAGCAAAAAAACCCTTTTTACCCTGAAATTTCTAATTCCAGAAGATTATGTCAAGGCCCATTTACTTCCCTAAAAAAAAACATTGTCTTTAGAAATAAGAAAGTGCACGGCAGAGTTCACTATCTTTTTTTAAGATTTTCCGAGATGAGGTTGCCCAGGCTGGAGTGCCGTGGCATCATCATAGTTCGCTGTATCCTCGAACTCCTGGGCTCAAGTGATCCTCCCACCTCAGCCTCCTGAGAAGCTGGGACTACAGGTGCCACCACCACACCTGGCTTTTTTTTTGGTAAAGACAGGGTTCTCGGTACACTGCCCAGGCTAGTCTCAAACTCCTGGCCTCACGCAACCCTGCCTTAGCCTCCCAAAGTGCTGGGATTATAGGTGTGAGCCACCACGCCCAACCCAGATCCGCTACCCTTAATTTCCTGGACTTATTTCTCCCATGTGTAGCTTGAGACAAGTCCTGGTGAAGTCGGGTTTGGAGCTGGCCACGGGGTGACTGGCAGAGAATCGGGCATCCTGTCCACTAGACTTCCTCTTTCAGATACACCTCCCAGGGCCTCTGCTCCCATCTTCCCACACACCCGCACTCTTCTCTTCAGCTGATGGAGGAGATATCCGAACTTGCTGCTGTCTCTCCATTTGCTCCCGGAACTGCTGCTGCAGCTGCTTTTGCCGGAGCTTCCGCTGGTAAGTGGCGTCGTCCTCCGCAGTGGCCGAGGTCAGGTGTCTGCATCAGGACAGCAACAAGGTGGGAGACAGTTCCTGAGTGACAGCTGTGGTTCCTCAGGGAGCACACACCAGCCTGCTGGCTCTGAAGGTAGAAACGAGGGCAAACGAAACTGCACGAGAAGCAGCAGAAGAGGAAAGGAAGGGAACTTGGACCCCGTACCGGGGGCTGCAGCCCTTCTCCTCCTGTATCACAATGTGGGGATCATCCGGGTGGCAAGGTCTGCAAGGGGACGTCACTTCCTGTGGTTTTGGGTGTCCCAGCACCCTGTTTGGGTGACAGCTGTTGTATCTTGCCTGTTCCACAGAGGGTTCAAAATCTTGTCTCTTTGCTTTAGTTAAATCCACTTCCAGAGGCAACTAATAAGGAAAGAAAGAGGATAAAATACCTCGAGATAAATGAAAACTAAAATTCAACATACCAAAACTTCTGGGATGCAGTGAAAGCAATCCTAAGAGGGAAGTTAAACACATAAATTAAAAAATAAGAAAAAAAAAGGAAGATCTGAAATCAGCAACTTGACTTTATACCTCAAGGAACAAACTAAACCCAAAACTAGCAGAAGGAAGTAAATAAAAGAAAGATTAGAGCAGAGATAAATGAAATAGAGAATACAAAAACAGGGGGAAAAAAATCAACAAAAATAGGAGTTGTTTTTTTTTTTGAAAAAAATCAAAATTGACAAACCCTTAACTAGATACAGAAAAGAAGAGCAAAGACTCAGGTCGATGAATACAGATTTTAAAATCCCCAACAAAATATTAGTAAACCAAATTCAATAGCATGTTAAAAGGATTATACAACATGGCCAAATGAGATTCATTCCTAGAATG